GCTCTTGACCACAGAAGAATGCCTCTGAGACTTGCTACAAGATGGTCCAGTTTTTATCATGGTGGGCGGGGCTTGTGGGCGCCCAGAGAACCACTTTCTTTGGCGAGGCGAAATTATCACTCCCTGGGGGCCCTCAGGTTTGGTCTCGCTTTCGATACTGGATGAAAGTGAGAGAGACGCGATCCCAGGGCAAAATGGCCAATACCTAGACAACAATATTCTAAAAACAGCACCGATAACCGTAACATTCTCAGATGGAGGATGACGTCTGAAATATTAATGAATCGGAACAAGAGCCAAAATACCATTATTATTACTTCATGCTTTATTACTTAATGGTATTTCACTCGTATCGTCTTCGTGTTTCGATGTCGTAACGTTATTTACTTGTCATTTCTAAGTTAAAAAGAAGCAACATAACTTATCCTATCCAACCCAAACTATCTTAGGTCGTTTGGCTAAGCTGGGATAGTTTAGGTTGGGTTACATTAGGTTAAGTTTAGGTCGTCTGTTTAAAAAGAACAAAGGCTTACAGGCCATATTCATACTTACCTTTAATACACCAATTTGTGTTTACTTAGATAACAAGAAAAATGGTGTGAACGAGGGAGAAGAGAAAGTTGATGCAAAGAGATATAAGTAATCTGACAAATTTAAGTAATCAGTCATGGTCATTTAAGTGAAACTTAATTTACAAGATAAGTGGACAACTAATATTAAATTGTTCTACCGCGTATTATTATTATTAATATTTCATTATTGTTATTTTATTATTATTATTATTATTATTATTATTATTATTATTATTATTATTATTATTGTGTGTGTGCAGACAACGCAACTGAACACATTCTCACGGGGTGATGGTGCTTGTTCCAGCCCATTTAATTAGAAAAGCACTTAAATTTGGTCTATTTATCGATGGATAAACAGAAGGAAGAACGCAACAATAAAATAAATACATTCCCCAGCAGAGAGCAGAACGCGGCCGTTGGTATCTCTCACTACTTCCGCGTTCTCGCCGTTGACATTTACGAAAAGGAAAGTGAAGATTGGCTGTCATCAGTGAGCGCTTCCCGCCTTCACCTAAAACGTCCTAAATTCCCCCACTTCCAGTTATAACAAGTAAGTATGCTTAGTGTTTACTTTTAAAGGGTACTATCAATTTTGTTTTCAAGAACGATGAATAAAGTACGGTAACATATGACTTTTTTTTTTTTAATCCTGATATAACAATAGTATTTCCTTTAATCACTCTTGAAATGAATAAATACATTATCATTAGACATAAGACAAAAATAAGCAAAAACGGCTTCGCTCTAAGTCTTGTTTGATCATCGATACTAAATATTTTCAGAAATATTCACGACCATAGAAATTACCCTGGCAAAGTTGCGAATATTAAAGCTGGGTGAGGTACACTTAGGTGAGTCATGGCCAGTGTTATTTTTAGATTGACCAACCAGACAAAGTTCTTTGCTCGGCTATATACGACCACAATACACTTTGCTTTCTCTGTTCAATAAATGGAAAACGTTGTATGTGAGAGGTTATCATCACTTATTGAGTTATATTATGAAAGAATATATTTCTTAAATTCAATACTACAATTACCTATTATCTACTGTCGAACAGTGCTCTAACCCTAGCAGGAGTATCCTATATAAAAACTCAATAAAACCAATTACTATTAAGAAAACCAAAACAACTGTTAGTATATATGTAATCTCTCCGCTCTGTAAATAAACTAGTTTGAAACACTGTCAGTAATAAGGTGAAACTAGTCTGCCATCAAACCGGTTCGTGTAAATTTAGACGGAACTCTATTATACATACATATACTAGTACCGCAAGTGCATGTCCCGGTTAGTCAAGAAATGACAGCGAGTCAGGTGTGCCTCTAAGAATACCTACACGTCTTCTGTAGGCCTACTTTCTCAGGCTAGGCTTGTAACCCCCCGGCGTCTGAGCTAGCAGCTTTCTCGGTAAATTAACTTGTTCTATAAGCTGATACCGCGGATTATAAGCCATAAGTAAAGTCAACTTTTTTTCAAACCCCATCAACTTATGCTAAGAGTAAGATAACAGGTTTAAGATATTGTACATGATTTTATTATTTTTTTTTTGGGGGGGGTGGGGGGTTGGGGGCGTCAACACCTGGGTTATTATGCACAGTACATAAATATTCTGTCCCTTGGGTGTAGCTCAGTACACTTTATGACGTCATTTTACCCAGCAGGTCAACTTTCTCCAGGAACTACGACCACCAGGATAAATTTGTATGTTTATTCCCGAAATTGTACAACTGCTGTGGATTTTTATCATACTCTACTGGAACGTGTGTCTTAGTTCTTATACGTGTACGGGGAATATGACGTAATAATCCTGGACGACGAAGTGTAAAATCTAGATACAGTATTTTTATCCAAATGACGTCACACGCTATTCGACTGGTCGAATAGCGTGTGACGTCATTAGGATAAAAATACTGTATCTAGATTTTACACTTCGTCGTCCAGGATTATTACGTCATATTCCCCGTACACGTATAAGAACTAAGACACACGTTCCAGTAAATTATAAGTATTTCACATTCATTTAAATACTAATATATGCTTTTGATCTAATACCTGTGTATTAAAAAGTTTAATCACTAAATCCGTATCACTGGACGTTGAAAGTGATCTCTAAATATGGCCACCACTGGTCACTAGAAAACCGGTGTGCTTACTGATATTGCCCCAATAACTGGATTTTCCGGTCTTAAAAAAAATTACAGTTGAAGTAAAAACTGGGGTACGAGACCAAGTTGTTTTAGTCTTAATTAAGTTTAACAAAGATGAGTTAGATCACGTTTAATGGATAAATTGTTTTTGATAGCAGTACAAATTGAAATTACTACCACTATCACAACCACTTTCAAACATAAAATCAGGCGATGACAAGGAGCATGATAAGACGACTGGCACTCGCTGGCGTGAAAGCAGTAGTTGAAGACGCTGGTCATAAAGGCTCCTCGAGTTTCATATTAATGATCCTCAAGTTGAAAATTACGGCGGCCATTTGTTGGTTGTGGTAGACGGCGCTGACCAACTCAGCCTGGTGCGGCGCCCCCAGCCCATGTGTGTACCTTACCTGTCTAATTTTATTGCTTGGTTTATTTATTAATGTTTTCCTACAACACTCAAAAATAATCATGATACTTTTAGTAATTATAGTACCAAATACAACTAATTATATGACCAGCTTTTGAAAAAAATATATACTACGTTTTATAATCACCCCAGCTCATGACGCTCAACACCACATTAAACAAAAAATAAATAAAATAAAATAAAAATCCAGGCGCCATCTGTACTGAACCCGTACATATTAATAATGTTATTCAAGAAAAAAACTCAACGCTTCAAGTTGATGTACGAAGGTTTAAGAATACGTAGTCCAGCGCGTCGGTTATTGTACTCAAGAGAGCTGTTATGACGTTTGTGGTCTCGCGAGTTGACGTGACGGGTCAGTTTCCCCCCGACACATCTTACCAACCAGTGTGTGTGTGTGTGTGTATGTATGTATGTATGTATGTATGTATGTATGTATGTATGTATGTATATGTGTGTGTGTGTGTGTATGTGTGTGCGTGTGTGTAATTAACCAGGTGTGCAGTGTACTCGTGTCTAAATTTTGGGGAATCGAGTCTCCAGTAAATTCTAAGGGACTCGTCTAAATTTAAGTGGTTTGTATCTAAATTCCAAGGATTCGTGTTTAAATTGAAGCTCGTGTCTAAATTCTGAAGATTCGGGTTGAAATTCTAGGGATAGGTTGTCTAAATTCTAGTTATGGGTCGTATCTAAATTCCTAAGATTGAAGTGTAATTCCAAGTCCCTAGTATTTAGAGTCGAGCTGCTAAATTCTAGAGGCACACATCTAAATTATAGGAGCTCGTGTCTAAATTCTAGAGGTTTGTGTTTAAATTCTAGACATTTGCATCTTAGTTTTGAAGACTTGTCTAATTTTGGGGGTTAGATTAAATTTGGAGGACAATGTCTAAATTTTCGGATTTTTTCTAAAACTCTTGGAACTTGTGTCTAAATTCTGGAAGTGTGCCTAAAATTTGGGTAATGTCTTTATTTCTTTGGATGTACGTCTAAACTCAGAGAAAATTTATAAATTCTTAAGGTTATGTCTTAATTCTAGGGGTTCATGTCTAAATACTGGGCCTTTGTCTAAATTTTGGGAATATGTCTAAATTCTGTAGTTTGATCTAAATATTGCGTCTGAACTGTAGGACTTTTCTAAATACTATGTTTCTCTAGATTTTGTTGTTGTCTATTATTTTGTTTACCTAAATTCTGGGGCTTTGTCTAAATTTTGAGGGTTCATGTCTAAATTCAGTTGCTGTCTAAATTTAAGAAGTTTAAATTCTAAATTCTGGGGATCTGTCTAAATTTGGGGAAGTCAACAAAATCTTTTTAATTATCGACTAAACTTCGCCCACTTCCGTCAGTTCCCTAGCAACCCCCAGACACGGGGGCCGGTTGCGAGAGGTGAAAGAACGACCGTAAAAATAAACACCTAACTACTGTGGCCACATCATGTTCGCTGTCAAAACAAAACTATCATGTGTTTCAGGACCTCCATTTTCGTTGTTGACCCTACAAGGCTATGTGATGGTACAGCGAGAGACGTCGTCAAATGATGATCTGTTTGTGTCAGGCCGATGGGTCAGTTGTTTGCCCATGACAATCTTTCATTGGTCTAGTGACTAGTAGCTAGAAGCGGGAGGGGTCTAGTTGTCACTGTTTAGTCACGGAGATTAATGTAGAAACTCCGCCCAAATTCCAAGGGTTCATGTCAAATTCTGTAATGGATGTCTGAATTTCAAGACGTCAAAAATTTGAGTCCTTGAGTCAAGGTCGCTGTAGGTCAGCAGGTAAGTCTTGTAGTCTTATCTCGCATGGTTAATTTACATTTATAATACTTTATAATAAACTGCATATACTCACACGTTCATTGTTAACGTATTTATTTTAATCTTGGTGAAGCACGAATGATCTAGCACATGGTACACTTCCAACACAACTCGTTTATCTTGGTAGAAGCGTCTGTTACACTCCAGAATCTTGCTGGCTCACGTGGGCTATAGACAACAGAGGCGGGTTCCGACACTCCTTCCCGCGCCGAGTCTCGTCGGCTTCTAAATTCCCCAACGCGGGATCCTCACCCAAGAGAAACCCTCCACACTAACTCCTCCCAATCCTTTGCTCCCTCCCTCCCACTCCCTCAACATGCCGGCACAGACATCTTTCACAACCAGCTACGCCATCAACCAAGAGAAAGTGGTTTAGATTCAAACCCGTCCCGACGACTCCGATTGGTGAAAGTCCGTATGGTAGGAGGGAAATAACATGGCCCGGCCGCCGCTCGAGGGCAATATGGCTGGGCATGTGAAAGTTACGGACTAAAATCTTCCAGAATTTTTTATGCCCGTGTATAGTGAGGGTATATTATGGTCCAAACGGTAAAGAAAGCGAAATTTTAAGAGTCGATGAAGAGGCAGGCAAGCGGCGGCCATCGACCCTGGCTCGCCTGAGAGGGAAAGTCTAACGAGTGGGCCCGTCCAGTAGATCAGCGGGCGACGCCATGTTTATATAATGATGCGGGAATTCGAGCGGACACACCCAAGGCTTCTCAAGGTTGTCCGTGACGCGGGGAAATTCATCTTTTGTTAAAGAAAGGAAGTTGTTTACTTGGGAAGGTCGCCACATATGGCGGCAGCGATGGTTGTTGTCGCCCGAGGCTGTTCTTAGCCTTGAGTTCATACAAATTCTGTTAACTAGTTTTCTTAAGGCGATGGTACGACGTGACGCTTGGCATGAAGGAATTTGAAAGATCCCTACGTGACCTTTCTTTATCCTCTAAACTCTAAATAATAGGAATTAGAAAATGCAGCTGATTACCGTACAATCTTTGCTTAATTTTGACGCCATCTTTGCATCATAGATGAGACTTCATACGTTCATTATTTCAACCTCTAACAAGATAAGAAAACTCACTTTGCTTCCATAGTCTCTGCTCAAATCCGACGCCATCCTTTAGTCGTCTCAAGATTCGTAAGTCAGTTTTCTTCGTAACTGGTAAAACAAAGTTTCATCGATTTGCGGTAGTCTCCGTGTAATTTCAACTCCATTTTGGCAGTTACCTGTAAGTGACTCGCGAGTCACTCGGGCTCTCTCACAATTCACTGCTACCGGGAAGCAGCATGTAAGTCATTCAGATCTTGAACCCTGAGTATCTGAACTATTGAGTACTGCTACTACTACTGTACTACTTCTATTGCTGCTATACTATTACTACTGTACTACTACTACTACTTCTATTGCTGCTATACTACTACTACTACTACTAATAATAATAATAATAAGAGTAATAGCCTAAAAATCCTTCCACACTCATACATTCATCCCTTTAACCAGGACAAAATTCAAGTGAACAGATGACTTCCCGCTGAACAAAACCTCACCCTGTGACAAATTAAAGAAACTATCTCACTTTAGTCTTTCTCCATTCCCTTTGTTTCACTTTGTCCATTTCAGTACTTTCTATTCTCTCTATCTCTCGCTCTCTCATCTCGGTCTGTCCTCTCTCTCTCTTACCCCTTACCAACCTCTTAATTCATCTCTGCCATATATAATAATTATATTTGCCTTTGCCCCCCCTCCCTTACCGTCCTTTGTGTGTCTGTCTGTTTACACGTGTCTTTCTGTCTGTAACTCCTCCTCCTCCTACCTCGGGCGTAGTGGTCACTCGGCTGGACAGTGAACGGCCGGAAATGAGTGTCCGGAACGCCTACCTGGTGACCGTCTCCTGTGGCCTTGCTGGCTTTCTCTCTCTTTGTTTCACTTTCCAATTACTTTATCTCTCTCTCAATCTCTGTCCGCTGTTGTCCCTTACATTTGCTAAGCTGTTGGGTTTAAATTAGGTTAAGCTAGTTAGATTAGATTAAGTAGGTTTAAAGTTTAGATTTAAGTTAGGGTTGGTTCTAGAGAGTTCAGGTTTAAGTTAAAGTCAAGTTTCATTAAAAGTAAAATTACATAAAGTTATATTAGATTTATTTAGGTTAGGTCAAGATAAGTTAATATTTTTTATTATATATTAAGGTTATTGCAAGTTATGTTTAGGTTAGGTTAACTTAGGTTGTTAGATTAGAAATAGTTACGAATAATTTAGGTTAGGTTAGGGTTAAGTCAGGATTAAATTAGGTTAAATTAGGATAGTTTAGGATTTAGGCTAGGACAGGTTAGGACTCCGTTAGGCGAGATTAGAATTAGATTAAGCTCGGTTAGCATAGGTTAAAGCTTGATTAACCTAGGATAAGTTAGGCTTGGTTCAATTAGGATTAGGTCAGGTTACCATAAATTATGTCAGATAGATTTGGTCAGGTTAGGATAGGTTAGGGTTTGGTGAGATTTAACTTGACTAAAACTATGTTAGGTTCCACTAAACTAGACTACAATTAGGTTCGCCTAGAGATAATTTTCACTTTGTTTACTAGGCTTGGTCTAGTCCCGGCTAAACTCTCTCCTTTTAACACTTTTCCTTCTAGTTAGTCTCACACATACTCACATCTGTACCACTCGTGAAACTTGTCTGTTATTATCCCCTTTATACTAGTTACATATAGCTTTATATTTCTTTTCCTTTCTCATTCAAAGGTTTATTATTCTACCATTATTATTATTATCAATGTTGTTACCATTATCATTACTTTTTATTAACAATGTTTTTATTATATATCAGACCCGGAACTTTCTTGTGAAGCGATTTATTACATTTGACAATCTCGATGAACATGAATAATAATCACTACTACTGCTAAGTGACAGTGGATATCTACTCAAGTGTGACTGACAATAAAACATTTACTTTTAGTATCGTTATAGTATCTAGTTATTGGTGCCTTTGCTACCATTGTTACTAAACATTCACCAGGTCTCTAGTTTACAACACACGTACTGTACAACTTGTGTTAAAATTTATGACGTTGCGTTACATTCTTATTTCGGCCGTGGAAATTATTCGCCCTGAAGACTTAGCCGTGTGATGCTTCTGGCCAGGAGAGCCAGTAGCTATTTATTGCTGTCTTATACAACATACAACGACAGTGTTTCTTAAGCACTAAGATTTGTTCCAATAACACTGTACCTTTAGTGCTGGCCAACAGTGAGAATACTGCATTGCGCATTGCGTTATATGTAGTACTGTATACGCTCGTTGAAACTCTTTGTATATATTTATTTTGTATGAGTTGACTGCTGGATAAAGACCTCCCACAATGTTTTGTCTTGAGTCTCTTCAGTACATAGAAAAGTTGGTCCTTGAAGGGCCGAACAGGTACAGCACATCGGGTACTACAAAGGCAATGTGGCCAGTACACCACTCGACTGATTTGATGAATTTAATTTTTCCAAATGAAATAATGTACCCATTCACATCTGGGCGGACTGAGGGAATCCCGGGGCAGGACAGGAGACGAGTGTTTTAATGTCTCTATTAATACTATCTTAATACTGTACTCCAATCCTCCTAATTTTATTTGTCCATTTAGTTGTTGGCCTGTCGGGGGATATACTTAAGAATACTTTGCTACTCTGTTAAACTGTCATCATGCAATATGCCTGCCCACTGCCAAACATCCTTCCTTGAGTTACTTAGAGAGTTGTTAAGGGTGCGGTGCCCTAAGATAGCAACGGATGATGCTAACTCTTTATTTAACCCACGGATGAGTCCGGCGCGGTGATGGGCGTTAACCAGACAGCTGCAACGGGAGGTGCCAGTGTATCAACTGAGTTGATTCAACTCTCAAATGTTGCTTAGCTTGACCAGTAAACACGAAGCTCTGTCCACACGACCCGGATTCCTCGCCTCAGTGCTAAAGAGAATACTGATAAAGAGAAAGAGAAAGCCAAGTTCGAATTCAGAAGACGACGCGAGGGAAAGTAAATCCGATAAGCTATATCCTTCACAGCTGCACGACTCATATCTTACGTGCAACATCAAACATAATTGCTGAGTATTTTTTTCTTAAATAATACGCTTAAGACATAGAGCGAAATTCAGGAGAAAGTTTACAAAGTTGTGCTATAAGCTGAGGACCAACATGTAAATGTAAAACACTTCCTTCTGGCACGAAAATTATTTAGTGATATAATTTTTTAATTTCTGCACTCTGGCGTACCGAATAAATCTGATAAGTACCAAATTGTTACACGGTATATAAGAACTTAGAACAACTTGATGTCTGTTTCATGCGTACAAATCTTGAAAACAATGACCTAGTGATGAACCGCAGTAGTCGACTGGACGTACGGACGGATGTACGACTGGCTCTCCAAACCAGAGCTACCAACTTTCACTTTTACTAGTGACCGCTCTGGTTCCCCGCCAGCACTGGTAACCTAACCTGATATACACTAACTACCACGCCATCAGTCACTGTTTACTCTCCAATTTTTCTGCCACAATGTTTTCTGCTTGTGGATGAAGGAATCACCCCAACACAATCTTCCACGGTCTTGTGTGAGGGAAAGAAATGTTTGCGGGAAAAACGTATTCGACGGAAAAAGTATTTGCCGGCAAATGAACGAATCGTGGTGGGAAAGAAGTCATTTGAGAGAGTTACCGCGTTATACTTGCATCACAGCCATGAAGAGCATTAATTACGTGGTGCCTGTGGTTGTAGGGCAGCAGGTACTGGACTCATCACTGTGTCAACACAAACAATGACTTCCACCAGCAGTCGCCGCCGTGTTGACGTCTTACATCTTGCTGCGATTATTTGCTCTCGTGCTCAGTGTTTACTTTAGTGTGTGGTTAACATATCGTCTTTGGGGTGTGTTGATTGTTGTATTTAAGGTGTTGACTTTTCGTGCTCAGCGAGGTATACTTACCGGCATCTACCTGTTAACTGTTAAGTTATCGTTATTTATATAAATTCAGTCCTATAACAGTAATCAAGTTATTGTACTTAGCGATTTTAGTTTGTTATACTTATAATTATTTCACTTAGTGATTTGATTTCGTTGATCTTTTGTAATTAGGCTGTTGTGCTAACTTAAAAAAAATGCTTTCTAGGGTTAAAGATCAACTCTAGTCCCAATATTTGGTGGTTCCCATGAAACATAAAAAATAAAACAAATAAAAGAAATGGGGCTATTTTCGGC